TTTTTTTCATGAGCAGGTTTAAAGTAATGAATGAAAGGCGTTTTCCATTGTATCCCATGTTACAAAACATAATCTTTTGTGAGTAGTACTGAAATTGGAGTTGTGGAACATATGTGCCTATTATCCCCTTGCTACTTACGTTTTTTATAGGACAGCCAGTTGGTTCCGGCAATCGTCAGTACAATAACGGCTACATTCGTGGTAATTATAATAACTATGGCGGACAGCGTCCTCGCAATAATCAAAGCGTAGGAGTTCCTCGTCCTCGTGAAAAGCTGAAGTTTGATGGAGATTACGACTTCGAGAAAGCTAATGAACAGTTTCAAGAACAGTTTTCTGACATGTTCAAAGACAAGCTGAAGGTGCCCTTTTGGGTTCATTGTCACCTAAACCTTTCTAATAGTCTTTTGCAGGTCGATGGTGAGAAAAGCGAAGAAGAGCAAGGAGAGAAGCCTGCTGAAGATACTACCTACTATGACAAGAAGAGTTCCTTCTTTGACCGCATCAGCTGCGAAGCTTTGGAAAAGGCCGAGGGGAAGAGCGGACGTCCTGATTGGAAAAAAGAAAGGGAAACAAATCAGGAAACGTTTGGCCACTCCGCTGTGCGCTCCTTGAACTATCGTCGCGGGTTTGGACAACGCGCTCGTGGAGGGCGTGGCTATGGAAGTAAGCTGCTCGTTGAATCTACCACGTTTCTAATTTAATACTATTTCAACTTTAAATATTCTTCTAGGACCTGGTGATGGACGTTACATCAACAATTTCAATCGAGGTTACAACAACTATCGTGGTGGATATGGTAACGGCAATGCGAACCATCGCGGACGAGGTTTCAACAGAGCTGGTTATCAACAGAATCAGCAGCAGTGAGAAAATTCACTTGATGGGGAAAGGCGTTTTCTCGTGCTTTTTCATAATGTAGAAAATATTTTTCTCGTCTTTCACACATCCTTGCAAAATGGAGCTTTTCGGCTACTTCATTGTCTCATAGGAGATCGAGCTGTGTGAGTCTGTTAAATCCCCATGTGCTAATCTCGTTTTTGACGGGCAGTTATACAAGTTTGATTTGTATGCGGTTTTGAAGATCTAGTAAGTATACATTCTGGTTGAACTGCGATGCTGAATTGAGCATGAAATTTCGGTGTAGAGTGTTGTTTTGTATTTCAATGGGACCCTGCATAACAGCATATATATTTATCATAGTTTGTTAACTTTGCAACATTTTTGTTTGTTGGAGATTTGTACTTCAAATAAAGCATATTTGATTTTAGTGTGCTGTTTGATAATCTTTCATTCACTTTGATGTACCTGAAATTGTAATGTATCTTAAATGCTTCACAGATGCTACATTTATCTTCCAAAACTTGTCAACTCGTTAACGTATACAATCAAGGACCACCGTTTTGCCGCTCTAGGTTTTGCGGAGTTTATATTTATCTGTTTGTCATTGGAATGCCTCACCCTATCACCTGCTGGCAATAGTGAAAGGAAGCGTAGTGGTCTGAATACTTCTGCGTAATCGTTATAAATAATGCTTTCGGAGTTTCTGAGGTCGTAGGGTAGACTAAGAAATATTTGCTATGCTCAAGCATAGTCGATTTCCTCGGGTGGCGGCCTTTATGAACGATAGCTATTGACAGCCAGCAATTCGCAACGGGCTCGGTAGTCGGCGCATAAACTCAAGCAAATCCAATGTCTTAGTAGTACTTTCTTTAGCTTGAAAGCCTACGGAAAAAAAATGTAAGGGCCAAAGCAAATTTTTCAGCAAAGAAATTGGTTTTCCCAGATATCTTATAGGTTAACTCAAAATTACATTTTATAGTTCATATAGTTTCTAGAAAGCACGTTTTGTTCCTGAGTTAAATTAAGTGAATTTATTTCAAAAAGTGTTTTAATGCTCGGTCTTAAACAAAGTCGATATTTACAGTTTAATTTGAATTTTGGGAAAGTTTCAGTCGTTGTTCGGTAGAAAACTAGTTAATGCTCAGTAGAAGACTAACACCAGAGTGGTTTCAAATTTAGTGATAAACGACGATATTAGGTTGAGCACGGTAAACCTTGTAGGAATTAGGCGCACCTACCGCGGCTGTCAGTTGGGGCTAACTTCTAAAAGGTCATACACTCGATGTTCTCAATACATCACCAACGATG